CGGGCTCCCTCGGCTATCCATTTCTTACAGTGATTCATGGAATTTACGAAAAAAATGCACCTTGCTTTAAAAAGCTGAGTCCTCAAATTGTGATTTTGACGTTAATTAGGCGCATCCAGACAGTTGCATAATTGTTCATGGGTGTGTTTACTCTGAACAATTAGCTTCTTGGGATGTAAGTAGGTCACTTCTTGTGGGTGTGCGGCATGAATGCAAATGCGTCTAATTTCACTTTCCTAAAGCCTTGGCCTCCCCCTCAGAGTGGCATTTTTTTTTTTGTTTTGTTTTTTTTTGCCAAGGTAATCTGGATCTGCATTGAGGTTTTTACATACAAATGGATGGGGACGGAAGACACGGATGGAAAATGTCTCGAACGATTCGGTCGAGAGGCTGACTGAGCGTTTAGATGCGTTTACAGCTAGCAGAGGTAGATTACTCCAAAGTGTTTATCAGGCAGCCAGGAACTGCTGGAGAGAGTTAAGACACCGAGCAAAGGCCTGCTGGGTATCCAGGCAGGAAGCCATCCCTTTGCCTCTCGCAGTTGACTCATGCTGTCGACGTGGGCAACGTCTGCATGCGTGCACACAAACATGCACCGTAATCATGTGTGTTCCTCGGCGCACAAACACACACAAACGGATTTTTCGACCAATTTTCATGCACGAAGCGTGTGATGTAAGCCTTCCTTCCGTCTCCTGCAGAAATGAAAAATCAAAATGCAGTAGGTTTGGTCAGAGCTGAGCTTTTTGATGTTTGCTTCATCTCATTAAACCATTACGCCGCAGAAATGTGAAAAAACACAACACGTAGAATGTAAGAACAACAAACACAGGCCAGTAAAAACCAAACCACAATGACCGCTTTCACTTTACTGGATTACCGGAGAGCAGCTGTTTGTAGGTGAAGATAACTGAGTGATTTTTTTACAGCCTGTTTTCTCTAATTGAAAATTCAGATATATAGATCTGCAATAAGCTGTCTAGCCTCGCTCCCTTCAGGCTCACCAAAAACAAATCACAGAATCTTATTTTCTCTGCTAATTACTTTTTCCCTGTAGGGAAATAATCCTAAACAACAGCAGCATAGATTAGGGTGACTAAATTAGAAAATTTATGTTGTGCAGCTGCTGCACATTTTGGATATAGCTCTAATTGTGCAACACACACAGCACTAATATCACATTTAAAATTGTTTTGCAGGTCTTGAATTACCCTAAACGACAGCTAAATCCAGGTATTAGTCTCCCCGAAGCTGCTGGAGGTGTGTTAGCATCAGTGATGTTGGAAAACACTGCAGTAATATTTTCACACGACAAACAAACAAACTACTGTTTTTCCACAGTTTTCTCTTATGAATGTGAAGCGATATTTTGGCCCTAAATCACACTCACAGCCAGGAACACGTTGTACCTCAATAACACCAAGACCGTGAAACACACACACACAAAGCAGGGAGAGAGAGAGGACTCTTTATTGGTACTTACGTCAGGGTGGAAAGAATATTTTCTTGCCCATATTCCTGTCTGAGGTTAACGGGCAACATCCGTCTCTTCCTCACTCTCTCCCTCCCACATTCTCACTCTCCCAAGTCCCTCGTCCTCATTCCTTACCTTTGCCTACCTCCTTCTTTCCCTCCCTCCTCTCCGTCTGCCTCCAACACTTTTATTTCTCTGTGTGGGAGAACCTTGCTGCGAGTACTGGCCCACGGGGACCCTTTGACGGCGCTGATGTGCTCAGTGGCTGCTGATTGTAACCTTATGTGCCCCTGCGAGTGAGTCATGCGAGGTAAAGAAGGAGTTTGTGTGTGTGTTACAGAAATACAGTTGGGTGCAGCTATTGAAGAAACGGCCGGGCTGCCGAATGCTTCACAATGCAGGAGATCAGCTCTGCTGTTGTCGAGGATGTAACGTATTGATTCAGCACTCTGGGGTTTTAGATGTTACCGCATCATATATGAAAGATAAAAAAGATCCCAGCTGTTATCAATGTTATCTCTTGACTCGTCACTGTGAGGATGAATGATCAGTGTCTGTATGCATTATGGTGGATTAGCATTATCTACATCACTACAATAAACTCTGCGTGTGTGTTTTATGGAATTTTAGACATTAATCAACTCATTGAGAAGGACGATTAGTTCCTTCCTGTTGGTATTATCCTCCCAAACAGCGAGCTTAAAAATAAAATCACCATAGAATCAGCAAAAACAAAGGTTCTTTGAAACCTTTTTATGTGCTCAAGTATTTCATATTAACAAGTATTCTATAGGTTTTGTATTAATGTGCATCTTCACATGGTGCAGAAAACATCACTAGTTGACGTCTGTATTATCAGATTTGTTGTTAATGTGTGCTCAGAGATGAGACTTCTCATGACGGCTTTAATTTATTTTATGTATGTATATCAACTCACCCATAATCAGAGTTTATTTGATCTACTTGTCTAATATGGCGGATTCAATGACAGGCTTTTATCCTTAATAATTCCTGAAATATTGTTGGTGAAACAGGTTCAAGTTTCAACACACATCTGCAGTTACCATATATCACACTAGAGGTGACTTCCAGGGCTGAAAAATATGTGCCTTATGCAGATTCTTCTGTTCTCTTTTGTGTTTACTTATATTTTTAGCTTATTATATGGTCAGATTGTATATTTTTTATCCTGTTGTATGTTTAGATTGTATATTTTTTAGCCTATTGTATGTTTAAATTGTATATTTTGTAGCTTGTTATATGTTTATCTTCAATATTTTTTAGGATGCATATTATTTTCAACTGTGTTTTTTAAATGAGGGTTCGAGAGAAACACAATTTCAGTTCTCTGTCTGAGTACACGAGTAGCAGAACTCAGAATAAAGTAACTGAGTTTGACATGAAAAAGCTAAAAGCTGCAGTTCCTTAACTGTCCACTAGAGGCTCCGAAAGCAAGTGATACCCATTGACTTCCATGTTAAAATACCCAACTTCACAGCAGAAATAAACCTGTTTACAACCTGGTATAAACAATCATGTTGGTCCCAATGGGTAGTTTTCCTGTTCTTTATAACTGTAGTACTGCTGATATTTTACATAATTCATCCATTTAAATTGTGTTCAAAGTCATGCATATTCATGGATGTACCATTTGGAGGTGGGTGCCGTCACGCGACAGTTCATGACTCAGGTAAGTTTGCGTGCCTCACCTCACTTCTACTCACACTCCACCTCTTTTCATGCTCACTTTTGGAAGTGAAGCCGAAGTCAGAGTCTCCACACTGAGCCTCAGATCTGCTCTCCAGGAAACCTGTGAGTGACACAATGGAGGATTTGTTCATCTTTACATACGGTCTGTTAATACATCCCCATGAAGAGCAATAAAACAATAAACTATTTGGTTACATGCAATAAACCATGTAAATGCTTTTGTCGAATGTGGCTGTAAATGTATGATGACTGATGTTTTCAGTCACACAAACACTGACATATAATCTCACCATTAAACTAATAGAGTAAATATATTATTTAAACACTCACCTTTATACACAGCCAACAGATTTAAAGTACAGTGTTCACAGATGTAGCTCAGTCTTTAGGCTCCTGAGAGGAACATCTGAGTCAAAGTTAAGCATATTAAAAGCATATCAAAGATCAGATCTTACAAAACTGTACAGGGAAATATCCTACAAATCCAAAGGGAAGCTTTGGATCGATGATTTTGTAGATGTGTTAACCCCAACTTTAAAATTAGTCCAATAAAGTTCCATTATTTCTAATTTTGCAGGGATTATTTAATTTGTCCATTTAAATTAGCATTTTAAACAACTTCATTATTATTTTTAACCATCATATTTAAGTTATTCAGGTAAATCCACAGCATGAGTAACACTGTGGGGTTTTAATCTTAATATTTAAACTTGTTGGGTAAATTCGCAATCACTTTTCTCTACTTGAAAGCACTTTGGTTTTAAATGTGCAGTATAAATAAAGGTGGCGTCTGCGGTAGCTGCTAGTCTGCTGTTTAGTGCTGAACATAAAGTGGGTTTTAGAGCCTGTTTTTTTTTTTTTTCCCCTGAAAGACGCTAAAAAGATCTGCAAAGCTGAGTAGAACTGCAAATCTAGGTGCTGAGTTCTTAACTATAAGACTCATTTTGACATTTAAATCTGCCATTGGATCCATTATTAATACGAAAACATCGGTTAGTGCAGCTTTAACAGATTTTATCAGATTCGTTGCTGCTGTTGTTGAGCTGCAGCCCAAAATTGTGGCATAATGGTGGTTTAAATATTAAAAACACAGTATAAATGCAGCATAAAAGTTTCAGAATGTAGAGAAAGCACAGGAACATCTATTTAGTACAACATTAGCTAAAATGAGCCACCACTAATTACTGGTCGGATCAGACAAAGTTACAATTTAGCAGCAAATCTGCCAGCCGTAATCATCTGTGTTTAACTTTCCATCCTTATTTTGTTGATTTAAAGTTATATAATCTCGACCTAAATGTGGCCCTAATGCATATTCTTGCCTTATGTAAAGCTCTTTTAATTGCCTCTGTGTCTGAAAGATGCTGAACTGGCCTTGGCTTCGCAGTTATTCAGCTGAATCTGCTCTAAACACTCCATTTGGAAAGCTATCTACACAGATAGTCTTTGAATTTTTCCCGAGTCATACTTGATGCTTAATTTATTTCAGCTAGTGAATAAAAATCTAACAAATCTTAAAATGCCTCTTGCACACACACATGAACCCTGAACTGTGTGTTTACAGTTTACAGTAAGATGGTGCATTTCAGACTGCAGTAGCGACGTGTTGCCAGCAGGTGGCGCGACACAGTCTGGCAGTTGTGAATGAATCAGCTCTGACTGCATGGCTTCAGGCAGCATGACCACAGGAAAATAGACTGACTTCACACTCCTCGGTCCACTGGCAGCATGATGGCGCTCCATTACTCAGCTCGCAGCAGCAACACACACACACACACACACACACACGCACACACACACGAAGATGCGACGCACGTTCAGAGCTTCTGCGCTTTTATTTTTAATAGAAAAAAAGTATTCAAAATAATACAACAGGAAGTATCCAGTAAAGATGACAACAACAACAAAAAAAAATAAAATAATAAAGTGATCAGGTCTGTGTCTCCACGGCAACCACCCATCCTCCCCTCCAGCTCAGCCCAGTTTGCTGCTTCAGTGCCAGAGTGTGTGTGTATGTGTGTGTGTGTGTGTGTGTGTGTGTGTGTGTGTGTGTGTATGTACACTGAACCAAAGCAGAAATAGAGAGCTTTTGTTTTTTTTTTATTATGTTTTTGTTTTTTTTGGAAATACCTCTGACTGATGCACATGACAACCTGCTGGTGGAATGAAGGGGATGATGTGTGTGTGTGCATGTGTGTGTACATGCAGAGGAATGAGTGTGATAAAAGACTTTGCGTATGTGCGTGTGTGTGTGTGTGTGTGTGTGTGTGTGTGTGTGAGCTGCAATGTTTGGGTGAATGAAGGAGGATGGATCGGGTTGAGACACAGATGCTCGGAATTATGCAGCTTCAGTCCGCCTGCCGTGGTGATGAGGACGATAATGACTCTGATGATGGCGATACACTACGATGGAAGCCAAGAGTAAAACAAACCGAAGAGAAAAAGGGAACATTTAACTGAATGAGTGGCTGCAGAACAGAAAAAAAAAACAAAAAAACAAACAAAAGGTCCTTGACTTCAGAAGGCAGGAGTTTAGAGTTTCTAAACCACCAGCTCGCTCCTTAACTCTATCTTATTAAAATATCCCAAATTTCCCCCCCTCTTTTCTTCCCTCTCACCCTCCCTCACCCTCCGTTCGTCCAGACCGACTGTAGGTAGGTAGGCCAGAAAGTTCAGTGTGGATCCTGGTGGCGTTACCTCCATCTTTTTTTTTCTCCTCCGCCTGTGTGTCTCTCAGTCCTCCAGGAGCTCCTTTTGTCCAATCGCAGGGCTTAAATATTCAGGATGGGACAGAAAGGGGAGGGACGGACGGAGGTTTTTCGGAGGAAGTGACCCCCGGTCCTTCCACCCCTCCGTTCTCGGCGCCCGTCGCGTCCTTTCATCTGTCCGTCCCTTCATCGCTCTGCCACCTCGATCTGTCCGCTCAGGGGCCTGAAGGGGGGTGAGGCGCTAAAGAGAGGAGGGCTGTAGTCTCTGAAGAAAAGTTCTCTTATATTCCATTCTCTCTCTCTCTCTCTCTTACTTTCTCTTCATCTCAAGCATCCTCCACTCTTTCACTTGCATTTAAATCTTTGCTTCACACACAGAGAGTCCCGTCAACGCCCCGTCGGTAAAACACTGATTTAGCTCTCTTCTCTCAGGCACGCATCAACACACACACACACACACACACACACACACACACAGTGAGGCTCTCTATGGGGGTGACTTTATGGGGGCCTCTGTGCTATGTCCCATCTTCCTCCTCCTCTTCCTCCGAACAGTAGTCTCGCCCCTGCATAGAAAGGCATTCGAGGAAAGAAAAAAAAGACATAATATGAGATGTGCATCATTCTTTTCCAGTCAAGTACGCTCAGTAATAACCGCCAAATGACTCCAAAGTGTCTGCAAGCAGCAACACCTGTTACTCGCACACAAGCAAACCTTCATCTGCGAAACAAAACACAAGACGAGACGCTAAAGTGCTGACGGGTCAGCAGTTAGGCTGTTCTGTCTGTTCCATTAAGCCGAGGAGCTCTCGACACCCTCCGTCTTCAGATAAGGATTTAAAACACAGCTAAATATCAGCTGTGGAAAATAACAAATGAAGCATATTTGCACAAGTATTCCGCCTAAGTGGTGAGGTGGAGGGTTTCGCTGTGCCGTTATACGATAAGATAAGACTTTATGGATGCTAAATCTGCAGCGTTGGAGGGGACTGTGTGTAAATGTGGGGACATCAGTAGGATAAATAAATACTAAATAAAAATATACATGAGTGCTGTTGATATTGCAAAGATTCCACTATTATTATATGTTGATTTTATTATTTCTCAGGGTTATTCTGCTTTTTGTTTTGTTGTTTTTTTTAAACATGAGTATTGCACAGATTTTTCCAAAAGTAGAAAAATACTGATATTAAAACTACTACTAGTGCACAGTTGATATTCATATTTTACAGATTACATATTGCACAGATTCTTCTGCAAATTGCACGACAGTTATTCTACGTCGAAAAAAATCCACAGATTCTTCCATGAGCAGAAAATAATACGATATTAAATATTCTGATGTTGCATCGATTCTTCCGAGTGCAAAAAATAAAGATGTTGCACGACTGGATTTTTCTACATGTATAAAAAACGATCGATGTTGCACAGATTCTTCCATGAGGAGAAAAATACAGCTACTAAAAGCACCGATTGTTCTCTTTCAACGTACAAAATATTCATAAAGCCCAGGTTTAAATGCAGCTTTTCTACATGTGGCCGACAGGGAGCGGCGCTGCTTGTAAATCTGCTGCTACTTCATATTTGTACTTAATTTAAATTGAAAAAATTGCATTTTCCTTTTCTTCACTACATTTATTTAACAGGTTCATTTAGTTCTTTTTATTCATTTTTGCAGATTTAGATTAAATAGACAAATTATATAATCGTGAACTTGTGATAGACCATTTTGCTTGAAGTGTTTGTAAGTAATTAAACCTGCACTAACAGTTTTTTTGGTCACATTAGCATATGATGCCCTGATAGGAGCAAACAGCTGCCCTGTACAGAGCAGCATCATCATCATCTAGAGTTGTGTTTGTGGCCTCTCATACAAGTAGTCGCTCACTTTTTTTAGATTTGTTTTGCTCTCTCAAACTGCCAAATGCTCTATAAGCATGTCACCAACTTTCTCTGTCTGCTGCTTGAAGTAAAGCTCCTGGTTTATCGGCGCTTTTGTGCTGAAAACAGCTGCTTGCTGTGGCTGAAAACAACTTTATGAGCAGTGAGAGGGAACTCTAACGGTATCTCTGCCGGCCAGACGACCGAAACACTGAGCTGAAAGGCATTAAAGCGCCGTGCGGAGCTGAGGGGAGCGGCTGAGTCGGACGATAATTCTCTGTGAAGTCACGACTAGAGGGGACTCCTCTCATAGAGCTCATAATAAGTCGAGTCATCGTTGAAGAGGCACTCTCTGAGAGGTTTTCTTTGGCAGCAATGCAGACTGTAAATACAGCTGGATGAATCCGTAGATAATAAAGTCACCTATAATGAACAATGTTGATGCTCTAGATGGTGGAGGTCGCCATGTCTGCAGGGCCTGACTCCTCCTCAGGTGGATGTTATACTTTATGTATCCGCAAGTACGCAAGCATCTATGTTGCATGAGTTTAGTCTAGTGAGAACACTCCACTGTAGTGTGCATGTAGTATAATAACAACTACACATCTGTGGTATGTGTGCATCTACAACTGAGTATATTCAATGCACAGATGCTCGTTAATCCAAAAAATGAGCACAGAGGTGAAGCAGGAGAGGAGCTGAGGCAGGCCACAGACTGACCTGTTGCTTAAAGCAGCCCCGCCTTTAATTACTCATGACTTTAAGCCTTAATACAGTTTAAACGAGTGAGTCATATAAAAATTCACCTTCTATACAGCTGTCATGGACTGGAAAGTTAGCCATAGAGAGCAGAACTGTTGTTCCTACCAGGCTGTAAACATGTTTATTTCTGCTGTAAAGTTGGGCATTTTAACATGGGGGGTCTAGGGGGACTGAGTAGCTTTTGGAGCCTCTAGTGGCCAGTTAAGGAACGGCAGCTGTTAGTTTTGTTTTGTGTTTTTTGGGGGGTATTTTTCAGCTCTGGAAGTTGCCTCTGGGGTGACACTTAGACATGGAAACTGCAGGTGTGTTCTGAAATTTGAGGCTGTTTGAACAACAATATCTTGGGAACTATTGAAGATAGAAGCCTGACATTTTTGCTGTTATTTCTTGACATGTCATTGATTCAGAATCCACAATATTGGACAAGTAGATCAGATTATGGGTACGTTGATGTATTAAAATAAATAAATAAATTAAAGCTATCATGAAAAGTCCCATCTCTGAGCACACATTAACAAAAAATCTGATAATACAGACGTCAATTACTGATATTTTCTGCACCATATGTCACGTTAATACAAAACAAAACATATAGAAAACTTTTTGACAAGAAATACTTGAAAAAAAGAAAAAAAAGTCATTTTCCATTCAGCTTTCATAACTGATTGAGCGGATATGACAAGTTGTACCAAAAAAACAAAGCAGAATGGTGCTCTAAACATAACCAGATCTTAAACTATAACATATTCTGAATTAATTGCATGATAAAATAAATAACAGTGAAAATTTTAGGGTTTTATCTGTAACGGTTCATTCAAACAGCCTCAAATTTCAACGCACAAAAACGGCTGATGGGCACTTAAAAAATATAGATTTTGTTTTGGAAAGTATTTATTATATCAGGGTAAAATTTCCAAAAGTATGTTTATAAATATCCATATTTTATGCTATATGAAGTGCAGCCAAATCAGGGATGATTGAGCAAAACTATTTCTGGAAATCTGGTTATTTGTGGTGGAATGTCATAGTTAGGACGTAGATCGTGACTTCACATACATTTATTTCAGACTAATATTAAACACTGCTAATAACACGTCTGTATATTCACTTAAGCACACTACATTGTTACTCTCTCTCAGGTAAAGGATCTGCAAACTTCTGCAGCACACAAGCTGAAAATACACAGGCGCGTCTCGAGGCAGCCGAAACACGAAATGGATCATATCAAAGCAGAACCCGGCCGTTGCTCATTTCACCGCGGTCGCCTCCTCTGACCATGTATGGACCTGCAGCGTAATTCGGCTGCGAGCGGCTCATCCCTGCAGAGATCACCTGTTCCTCCCCCTCACACACATTTCGCAGCTTAGCGTTGAGCTCGTAGGCTGGAATGACAATGTGGACTAATGGATGTTGTTGCACTAAAGCCTGCCTCTTTAAATTTTAAGACCCAGCTGTTTTTTTTTTTTTCTTCTAAACGCTCCGACGCCTGTTTCCCTGCCTCCCACCGACCTACTATCCTCCCTCCCTCCCTCCCTCCTCACCTTCTCAATCTTCTCATCCAGCATCCTGAAGAATTCCTGCTGGCTCTCTGACGTGTGAATACTGAGAGAGAGAGAGATGGAAAAGGGGAGAGGGAGGAGAGGAAGTTGGAGGTTGGAGATGATGAGGAGGAGGAGGAGGAGGAGGAGAAGGGAGGCAACAAATACATCATGAGAATTTTCCATTACACCCCCCGCACAGCGCGAACACACACGCAAACCTCGCTGCAGTGTGAGAAATCATCCAGGGCTGGGTTCGGCTGTGGAGGATTTGAAAGTAATTGTAAAGTCTCTGCAACCATTATGTCTGCTCTAAACGGGGACTCATCAACACGTGCAGAGGTTGGCCAAGAGGCAGCATTACAAAAGACAGACGCAACATATCACTTAGCTCTCACATCATAATATTAACATACTGGAGTCACGTCTTAACGGATGGAGCTGTTTACCGAGGGTTCGATTACAGGGAGGTTTTCATGGCAGCTGATTATTTCTTTCTTTGCAATGAAGTGTAAATTTGAAACTTTTTCGCTTAATGGTTAATGATTCAAGTGTTTTCAACCTTGAACAAACAGTTTGTAGATTAACCCGAGTTACTGTTCTTCTTTGAAATGTCATTTTTGAAAGCAAAAAAAGAGAGGGGGTCTCAAAAACTGCTCAATTTAATTAAAAAATGTCAGAATGGTTACCTTGAAATGTAAAAAAAGAGTTTATTTTTTTGTAAGTTGGGCCACAGATGGTTTATTTTATACATTTTTGGGTTATTTACACTCTAATCCTGGTCCTCGAGGGCCACAATCCTGCATGTTTTAGATGTTAATCTCTTCCAACACACCAGATTCAAATGATCAGGATCGTTATCGGGCTTCTTCAGAGTTTGATGATGAGCTGATCATTTGAATCAGGTGTGTTGGAAGAGGGAAACATCTAAAACATGCTGGATTGTGGCCCTCGAGGACCAGGATTGCCCTCCCCTGCTCTAAAGGATGCTACTTACTTCGACTTGATGTTTGCTGCAGCGACCTCCTTCTGCTGTTTCCCCCTGTACTGCGCATTACTCTTCTCCTGAAATCACATGCACACACCGTTAGTTTCCTTATCAGCTGATAAAACAGGTACAAAAAAAACCCACCCAACTCATATCAGCAAAACAGTCACGCCACTCAGATGTGAACCTGGACTATGAAATTGCATCGTCACCCAGCTGGTGCAGCACCAACCATGGGACATGAGGCAGAGACACACTGTACGAAGGCCTAATAAAACTGTTTATCAGCTCTTTATAAGGTCCCACGAGTTCCCGTCCATGTTTTTTTTCAAGCACCGCCTACAGTTTCCTGCCATCGTAAAATGTTGTGGTGGCTCTTCTCCTTCAGCACTTCACGTGAGTGTTTGGATTCTGCTCTGAAAGGAAACACCGACAGTACCGAGAGAAACAAATACTGGTCTGACCACGTGTAGCAGCCGTACTGGAGGCTACCTGGCTCTATGTAAAAACGTGGTTTGGGTCACCAAAATCACACCATTTATTAGATTCAGAAACTGTAAAAACAGAAAGAATGGTTGAATTTTGAGCTTTGCGACTGTCCTTGAACTACTCATCTGTGAGGTGCTGTTCGGATCGAAGCCTAATTCCCTTAACTCCACATGTCTCCTTCAAAATTTTGTCAAAAATAAACTATTTCCTCTGACTAGATTGTGTGAAAAACAAAAAATTCTACGCTCTGTGATGGAACTGTGATGCTACTACTGACTCAGCTGCAACCAGCCGTCACCTGACAAAAATGTAGGGAGTTTTTAACTGAACTGCAGGCTGTGTTTAAACGGAGGGATACAAAACTAGTATAGAAACAGAATAAATAGTAGTCAGCTGTACATTTAGTATGTATAGTCACCATTTTTCTCCTTTGGGAAAGATTTTGTACATGCTGATTCCAGTTTTTTTTTCCCATTTCATACTATAAATAACACTGGTCTACACCCATTGTGGTGTCAAAGTGTTTTGAGCTGATTTTGGACAATTGCAATGTGCTGAATCCAAATATCACACTGGTTTTGCTCAATGAGGTCAAAATGTTGATTTGATGAAACATGCAATTTGCTTGTATTTACCTTTACAAATGTTTATGCTCATCAACTGTTGGATCATTTAGCTTATGAAAAGGATTAGAAAATGACATTTTTTTCCTCTAAAATCCGATTTCATATGAGAAATACTCCAATAAATCAATTGCTAATTTCAAAACATGTGATCGATTTAGTGGCAAAATCCATTTTTTAAAAATTGAGTTGGCATAAAAACTTGACCTGATACAGAAAAGCAGATGTCAGTTTTGGATTCAGCATTGCAAAAATGTCCTAAATCAGTTTTTAAAAAAATCCTAGACACCTTCAAAAAAGTATGTTTTGCAACCCAGTGTAATCAATTATTAGCCTATGATAATGAAACATTTCTTTTTTAGATTTATGGTACTGTAACTGTGTCATACTGAATAGAAGACCATCCTGAGTTCTTTCTACATCTAGTCATGGTTGTGCTGTTTCAACAGAGCTGCAGGACTTTGCACTGCTGTTAAACAAAAAGAGCCAACATGGAGGAAAAATATAAAAAAGGCCCATAAACTGTAAAGGGTTAAAAGTGAAAGAACATGACGTTATGATGTGTGCAGTAACATCAGTCAAGCTGAGTGTCTGTTGACTCCAAGAGGCAAAGACATCCTTTTATTTGCACCTAATGACCTAACAAATCTCCTTTCTCCGTGAAGCCTCCTTCAGAGCGTCGAGCAGCATCTTATCCGACATCTTCACTGAGAATCTCTGCTTCTCCTGCGTCGCTGTGCGAGTTTCAGAGAGAACGAGAGCTTCGCTGGTGCTGGTAGCCAGCAGTTACTTCGATAAGGTCGCTTTGGAGCTACAGTAATATAATTTGTGGCGGCGTGACACTGCTTCTGTTTTTTAATCAGGATTTATTATATTGCTTGTTGTTTCACTGCTTGCCAGGCAGACGTGAAGCGGCGAGCTGACAAACAGGCTCCGGTGTTTGTTCAGTGTTGCACTTCTGAGCTGAGCTGATGAAGACGTAAATCTGCACAAGCTTTACATTTTGGAGGAGAATGTGTCTCAGCTTATTAATTATTTACATTATTGAATGAGAGGGATCCAGAAATCAAGTTATTTGCAAGTTTATTTTTTTACAGCAAACTTGACCAGAGACGGCACTTTTTACACTGTTTAACACTCTGAACCATAAAACCCACCAGCAGGTCTGACAGACTCGTTATATATATTTAAATGAACACCATTTATCAAACTCTAAAAACAAAAAGAGCCACTGAATCGTGAACTCTCTGATGATCTTTGAACCACTCATCCATCTTGACCATCAACCAAACCTCAGCTTAAACTTGTGATAATTCATCAAAAACATTTTATTCTGTATTATTTAGAAATTCACCCAAAAATATACGATTAACAAAAACCAGATTCTGACAAAAAGAAAATATTTTCTCCTCCTTGGTGCAAATGTGAAGCCATGACTTACTCAGCTGCAATAAGGAGTCATTTGCCAAAAATTCGAGGAATTTTCCCATGAACCGAGCTGAACTCCAGGCTGTGTTTATACACAGCAGATAGGAGATAAATAAGGGAAAGTGGGAAACAAATAAAACAATGCAAGTAGTATCTAAAGTATGTAGAGCCACAGCATCGGTAGCACCTCTGGGTAAAATGTTGTACATGCTGGTGCCACTTTTTTTCAATTTTCGTAAATATTTTATGATTTATGATAGAAGCTAATGCACAAAACACACTGCTGAGCTCTCTCTCTATGTGAACATTGTTGTACAGCTTCTATAGAGGTGCGTGTTTTTATATTGCAGTGAAAAATGAAGCCACAGTGAGTGGAAAGGTGCAAAGAAAGAGAGAAAAGGCCTGCAAACCTGCTTGGGGTCCAGAGGGTTAAGAGGTTTTAAGGTTTTGCAGAGGACGGGAGGGGAGTCCAACCAAGCGAGCGACCAGCCCACACATTCCACACACGCCGGCATGTTGTCTCTACCTGCGTGTGAGGCACCTCTTTGTGTGTGTGTGTGTTTTTGTGCTTGCGAGGGAGACAATGAGTGTGTACGTTCCGGCTGGCGATGTTGACGGAGATGCCTTTCGGACACAAACGCGAGCCTGTTCGCCCGAGCTGATGAGCCGTCAGGAAAAAGGTCTGAGTGTGTGCGCACGGATGACGGGCTGTCAGTTGTCAACATGCTGCTGTGTGTGTGTGTGTTTGTTGTGTGTGTGTGTCTCTCACCAGGTTTTCCTGGTTGCGTGCGTTCACCCGGTTCTCATCCCCTCTCATGTACTTCACCTCCTCCACTCCCTTCATCTTGTATTCATCTGAGGAGAGAGAAAGTCGTGATTAAAAGGAGGAGAGAAACAAACAAAAACATGTATTTTTTTTATCTGCCAGATAAGAAGCCAAATTCCTTTCAGTCATCCATCCTCATCTGTGTCATCTGAAAGGCCGAAACAAGTGAACCGTGTCACATCATCAGCGGCACTGTGCTCTCGCTGCATTACATCACCGCGACCCGCCACTATTCCATCGATTCTAGTTCTAATATGTGGAAGGTAATCTGATAACTTCCACCTGATGCAGCCCTTTTGAAAGTGGACGTGACAGCGGAGGTTTAAGCAGGAGGACTCATCTCCTTTCCATTTCAGACGCAGCAGCTCGTCTGAGGAAAAACAGCGAGAGGGGGGGACGCACGGAAACAGGAGAGGAGACAAGAAGAAAAAAAAAAGAAAAAGAGCTAAGACGGAGCGAGCTGGAGGGGGGATTAAAGATCAGCCCAACAGCTTCGAGGCTACACGGACAGCTTAGACGAGCTCAGTGGTACCGACACCACGCCCAGCGCCGTCCGTCCTCGCTCGCTGCTACAGCTAGAAATTAGGGCGATAAACCCGGCATTATGCTTACTGATCCGAGGTTACTCACATGGCAGCACTGTCTGGATTCCATATAATTAACCCTAAGAACAGTGGAAATACATGCAGATACAGAACAACTGGGAGTTAAATCCGTCTGTCGGTCCAGTGGAGAGACAGAACTAGTTGTGCTGCATTATTCAGGACAAACTAATCATTAAGGAAACTAATTATGACAATTGATTGTGATATAGATCATCTTTCACGAGAAAAAAAGAAATATTGCAGTGTAGTTTGGTAACATTTCAAAAACATTACAAAACCAGGATGACGGTATTTATTGACATCACATCAGCAGTAAGTTCTGCCCTCCAGGTTCAAGTTATTATCATGACTATTAAAGAACTGGTGATTATTTTTATAATTACCCAATAAAATGTCAAATAAATGTTGGCTACAGATTTGTTGGTGACATTTATATGTATATATTGCCTTTTTTTTTGACCAACCAGCAATTCAAAAACCAACTTTCAGCCCACTTAGAATGAAATTTGAGGCTATGTTTGTATGACAATATCTCAGGAGCTATTAAAGATCAAATCCTGATATTTTTACGGCTATTTCTCATCATGTCCATTCATTCAGAATCTGCAATATTAGACAAGTGGATCAAAAAAATATCTGGGTGAGCTGAAATATGAAAAGAAGTTAAACAAAAAGTCCCATCTTTAAGCACACATTAACAAAAAAATAAGTCAACTAGTGATGTTTGAGTCTGAATCATATGTAGCTGCATGTCACAATAATACAAAGCATCAAGAATAGTTTTTAATATCAAAAACTTGATCACAAAAAAAAAAAAAGGTTCGTTTTGTTGAGATTTCAGAACCGACTGAGCAGGTATGACAACCAGCAAGCAATGTAAAATTTCAAAAAACAGAGAAAAGATGACATTTTATCCCCTTTTGTTTTGCTCATGTGAATTTGATTGCGACCTCCTGCACCTGCTTCCTGTCCTGACTCCTCCCCCTGCTTGCATGATTGGACGAGCACTGCAGCACACCTGTGATCAAGCCAAGTCATGTTTTTTTCTTCTTCTTCTTCTACCAGGTAAAAATGTTTAAGAACCGGTTCTCATTTGCAAACATGATGTCAGTTACCACTACACCTGTTTTGTAAAGCTGCTGCCAGCCCGACAGTCAGTGACAGCTTGTGTGTTTTGTGCAGCTCGCCCACGTGTCTCCCTGTTTGTGAGAATAGTACGAGACACTAGATTGCAGGAGGAAGGATTTGTGCCAGCTGAGGGATGCTCATTTAAGTTGACGCATCGTTGTGGTTTTAAGTGTCGTCTCAGCTCAAATCATCACATCTTCAGAACAATTTCTGCTCAACTGTCTGTGATTTTATAGCATGAAATATGGATATTTATAAAGACATTTGTGCAATTGTAGTCTAATATATGTAAAATAATTTCCATGGTAACATTTTTCAAGCACATTTTTTCACATGTGAAATTTGAGGCTATGACTGGATGAGAGTGTCTAATTCTCAACATTATTTTTTCCATCATGTCACTGGTTCAGAATTTGCAATACCGGACAAATAAATTGAATAATCTGATGGGTACGCTGAAATATGAAAAGAAATTGGAGCCATCGTGAAAACTCC